TGGAGGCTTGAAGATTTGAAGTTGTGTTGTGTCTGGGTATTTTTGTATTTTTTTCTTACTTTATGTTGTGCTCCTACTCCTTAGACAGGGGCATAACAAGGACGTGCAAATACTTTGCATAATGTCATGTGTAGTCTGTTACATTCTTTGCTTCTTTGAGAGTTTATTTGGAGGGCTGAGGTTTACAGTGAACTTGGAAATCAGACTAATAATGTATCTAATATATCTCTTCACTCTTTCTGAATATCTTTCCTCCCTCCTTCACAGAGATGCTGGGTGTTCTTTAGAAGATATGGAAATGAGGCTTGTCAAGATTGCAGTAAACATCATACCTTACATTTACACAATTTTAAAAAAATCAGGATTTCAAAAAATGTTAAACAGTGAAACACTCGTAATCATTTAATTTTCTTTTCTCAGTATGTAGGGACTTGGTTGGGAAACCGGCAGGGTCGCTGGTTAAGTCCCACAGGACCACAAAATATGGCAGTGTGGCTGGTAGCTGAGAGAGGGGTTTCAGTTTACACCTTCCTGTTTGCACTGCTCGAGGGTTGCCCTTGAGCAGGCAACCCCTTAACCCGAAACACTGCTCATGGGGCGCGCTGGTGCGGTAACCCGGTTTGCAGCCCCCCATCACTCCACCATCTCTCTCTCCTTTGCATGTCCACAAGTGCATGAAGTGTGCATTTCAGCCTGTGTGTGTGTGAAAAAAAACTATTTCCCCCTAGGAGATCAATAAAGTATATCTTCTTCTTCTTCTTCTAAATATGTTGCCTTGACAAAACACCAACAATAACCTACACACTTGATTATTCTAACTGAGACTTCAGAAGCGTTATAGTACCTTCTTAATTAATCAATTAGGTGTTTGGTCCATGAAATGTCAGAAAACTGTGAAAAATGTTGATCAAAGCCCAAGCTGATGTCCTCAAATGTCTTGTTTTTGCTGCAACCCAAAGATATTGAGTTCAGAAGCTGAAATCAGAGAACTTGAATGAAAAATAACTCAAAACAATTAATCAATTATCAAAATAGTTGGCAAATTATTTAATAGGTAACAGCTAATAAATTATCCAACTAATCTTTGTAGGTCTAGACAGAATGAATGATTACAGAAACCAAACACTGTCAGTGTATGTGAATATTATGGCTTTGTGTTGGTGTATTCTACAAGAATTTTATGATATAATAGGTATCACCATACATGTTACAATAGGAACGTAATAGACTAAACCATGCGTCAAACTGTCCATGAGCAAGACACAGAACCCCAAGTGGCTTCCCAGGCGCCCAGGGCTGCCCACTGCTACTAGTGTATAGAATGGGTCAATTGCAAAGGACAAATTCCAATTCAATGTATGTAAATATATTGAGAATATGAGAATAAAGACTGGATTCTAAACATTCTATCCTACTAGTTGACTAGGAAAATCTTCATTCGGGGCCAGCCCTAGTGTTTATGATAATATTGCAAAACAAAATATCGCATATTCTTACACCCCTAGTGAATATTGTGTTAATACCTTAATATATCTGAATATGTACTTTAATGGGTAACCACAAAGATATTTTTACTTGATAGTTTTAAAGTGCACTTTTCAGCATTGAGTGCTATTTATAAAATCTCTCTCTCTCCCTTTCTTTCGCTCACACACACAAATCTAGTGTTGTACTGTCAAAATCGAAGGCCAGCATGTTTGTGTGTGTTAGTTCAGCTTCCTTCATATCTGTTTAAAAAGTGAGACCCACAGACAGACGGAGGCCATGACAGCCCTTTCATATTCACACTTTCCCTTCTCTAACAAAAATATTCCCCTTACTCACTTCTATTTTTCAGTTGCTTTTCATGTGAATGATCTGCAAGAAGAACAGAGTTTAAAGCAGTGGTTCCAAACACATTATTTATATATTTATATTAAAATATACACAGTTGGCCTATATCTCAGCCTTTAACTCACAGGGTAAGGGCACGGTGAAGACCTAAACACAAACTAAGAGAGCCATCAGTCTCTGCACAACCAGAGCTAATAGAACAATGGCGTCAGGTTGAAAAAAATACATAAAAGAGAAAGAGCATTGTATAAAAAGTTCCTAAAAATATCAGGAAAATAGGAAATAATCTGCTGAAAATTCCTTCAAATGGCTCATTTTACACAAACCTCCTGGAGTTATTGTGTTCACTATTTGGGTTAATTGTATAGTTTACTACTTGTTCTGTGTTGTTACTGTTATGTATAGAATAGCCACATGTATTGAATATCCATATTTCCATAAAATCTTTCACTTAGTCAGTTTACTCAATGATATAAAATGGGTCCTTTAAGGAAAAAGGTTGGGAACCACTGGTTATATGTTCACAGCTTTTCACACCCCTTGTTTTGTATAAAAATGTCTTCCAAAGGAATTATGTGGCGTTAACAGTCTCAGTTAACCAAATAGGGTTGATATATTGAAAATGTTTATTCTTTATTGTAACTCTGGAAGATACTTAATTGTCTAAATCAGTCTGTTTAAACTTTGAAAAACTCTATTCACTTGCAATGGAAGCACATCAGGAACAGGTTTGGCAACTGAACAGAGACTGTCAGCTGACAGCTGTTGTTTGATCATCTTTACAAAATAAAAAACTATAAACTAACATTGTTATAGATTATACTACCCAAAAGTAGAGCTAAATGGTTAAGATTAGCTTCATGTAGACAACTTTAATATTCTGCTTCCATGTCAATAAATTTATGAATTTATGAAAAATATAACTCATATACAAAGAGGGACTGTATTTATTAATACTATGAAAAGTCACGTGTAACCATTTGCGACAATATAACGTAACAATACTTTGCCAACTTATAAGATGGATAAACAAGCAACCTAGCTTGCAAATTGGCAACGTAACATTACCCTACTGTTATTAAAGTAAAAAATTAACAACTTAAACATCGGAGGGCTGTGGCTCGGAGGCAGAGCTGGTCGTCCACTAATTGGAAGGTTGTTGGTTGATCCCCGGCTCCTCCCGCTGCATGTCGAAGTGTCCCTGAGCAAGATACTGAACCCTGCTCCTGATGCTGTGCATTGGTGTGTGAATGTGTATCTATGTCATGTTGTCCATTTTTTTGTCTTTTGAAAAGACATTACACGTCAATCATCATCAATCTTCCCCGCTTAATATTTCATTAGTAGGGGGAAGGAATCATGCCTATGATTGGTCAAACTCTTCTTCTTTTGCTTTTTGGCAAAGCTATAGGCTGTTAGACTTGAGTACTGCTTGGGCATAATCAAATACATCGCCCCCTTTTTGCGGAGTTTAGAGTGAGAAATCGGTTTGTCAGGTGTCCATTCAACTGCCAAATAAGGTCACAATCACCAAACCATCATCAAAAATTTGTTTGTTATTTTGGGGTCACAGTGACATTTTAGTCAAAAGTATAACCAATTCAATGCTTCCACAACAATGGAACCCACAAACAACCCCAAAAAAAATCCCTCCGTCCATGGCGAGCGCCAGAGCGGATTGTCACTGATAAACCCATTAGATTGAAATATAGAAAATAATTAAATTTTTTTGAATGCCTGTGTTTTACTTTTTTCAGTGCCAATACTTTTTTTCAATACAATCGTTTCAAGGGCAATGTTTCCTTTTTTAGTTCAGGTTTTGTTTTTTAACACAAAATTTATGTGCCAGAATTTAAAGACACTCTCCTGGCTGCATTCCCTCAGGCTTTTATCAACAAATAGTAAAGGGAGAATAAGAAGGATGGTTTCACTAATAATGCACAAATAAATGGAAATGGCTGATATGGTAAAATCTATTCTATTCTCAATTCCACATCTTTTAAATTAATTTAGGTAAACAGGTGTACAGTAGGCAGATAATGCAGGACAGACTAAGAAGCATCCTTGTTGAAATAAACAGACCTTGAGTCAGCTGATGGCATTAGTGAACAGTAATACTCAGCTAATCTTTATCCTGCTGCTGACCAAAATAGCCACAGTCGCACAGCAATGCCAATAACTTTGTTGGCAATGCTAGTATTAGCTATTTTTAAACTACGAATTGGCTACTACAGTATCCTGCATGTTCACACCAAAGACTGCAACATTGTCATCTGAGGATCACACCACACAGCATCCTCTAAAATGGTCTCTGTTGACTACAACATGTCAATCAAGACTAAATCAACCTTTACGAAAAGTAAAAACTGGTATAAAACTAGCTTAGCACACGGGGTGCAGGTGGTTTGCAAAATACAACTTTAAATTGTTAAATACAAATTTACAACAGCCTATATGGGTGACTTGGACAGCAACCACACATGGCCATCTTAATGAGGAGATAACATTTTTAAGGTTCAAATCTAAATTTTCTAAATAAAAAATGGTCAGTGTAACCACAAACACTAAATGACTTTTGAAACAAGGAACATATCTGCTCTTAGCACGTTTTTGCTAGCTTTAAGTGTTAGCCTGATCTAGAGCCCTCCACAACATGCAGTCAGCCACAGTGTGTCAGGGTGTCTCTGGAAGATAAAAGGTGCTGCAAGGATAACAACAGATATACCAAATTCCAGCCAAGACTTGTTAAGGCTTTCTGATATTAGTAATTCATTAGTTCAACTGATGTGGAGGAATCTAGCTACAAGAGTAAAGAATGTGCCAACCAGCCCCTGTGTCTCCTACATTACTACACAAGTTTTGTGGTTTCCGTTTTGACTGTAATCAATTAATAATTTGCTAATGCATTTAATAATATGCACCTTAATAATACCAGCTTCATCACACAACGATCCTAATGCTACAATATATAATATGCCTACACCTTAATTCTAACCACACTGTTTCAAACTGTCCCGACTCCCCAGTGAAGCTGTCAGCCGTCCACATCACTCAGACTCACCGTAGTAGGGACCCGGCGGTGCGGCTCCAGCGGCTGTCTCGCTCTGGACGGCGGCTGAGCTGCTCGGGGTGTACCGGTGGGGCGTCATGGCGCGATGCTGTTGGCGGACAAAGAAAAGATGAATGAAGAAGCGGCTGACTGTAAAGTAGTCTAGATTATAGTGCTCCTTAGCTCCTCTCCCCTCTCCTCCTCCCCCAGACTGGTCATACTAAACCCACTAGTACTTAGTACGCTCGCGCTCTCCATGTGGATGTCACGCCAAAAATATATAATAATATATATTTTAAATGGTATTGTTCTTGGCCGACAGGACCCGCACTTTGTGAGGAATTTCCGCTGCCTGTTATTTAAAGGGGCATGTTTTCAATCAATCGGGATGGAACCAGGTCTCGTGTTTTATAGGCTACGTTTAAGAATATAAATAATGTAAGTCCAACCGAAAGTCTAGAAAAAAATATATTTGCAATGTCTTGATTTATTTTATTGTTTTACATGTATAAACATTATCGGTTTTATTATTATAATTAACATTACTTAATTCAATTAATAAGGGCAACTCATGATCAACCCTTCCACCAATATATTGATTAAAAAAATATAACTAAAATTTAAAATGCTATTGTAAGACAGGCAACCACTTACCTATATACTATCATTAGCATTACACTCTAAAAGGCAATTCAGTGGACCTATTGTAACCACTTAAATAAATGCATGGTTGCAAGATAAAACTTATAATTTGCTGATTCAGATTTAAATTGCAGACATAATTTGGATATGTTGTGTTAACATAAATAACGTAGCAAAACTAGTTGGAACAAGTTTTTATGATTTTATGAAGTAGCCTAATCAACTTGAAAACATATGTTTACAGTATGTTATTACGTAGTAACTAAAAACACCTTTGATGGTAGAGGAAATTTTTGTTCCTTTATGTATTAACATCATTGAGCCTTGAGCCACCAAAGCCTTCTCCCTTTTATACTGTCAGGCTCCATCTATTCAAGAGACTATCAATTAAGTTATTCAAACAATTCACATTGACAGTAATATTCATATACAATATTTTAACAACTGGAAATACATTTAAACCTATTTTAAAACATGTTTCTTTCTTAAAAAGGGTGGCTTAGCAGACTAATCTTTAAACAAAAACAAAACACCCCTCCCACTTAACTGCAATTGGTCTCTCCCTTGGGACACCAATGTTTTACCTTTCCATTATTTTATGGTGTTGTATGTCATCACATACTGTTAAAGCTGCAGTAGGTAAGTTTTATAAAAAAAATAACTTTTTTAATTTGGTTTCAACAGTATAGTTTTGCAAACAGCTGCTTTGCTGTGTACTTTTTAAAGAGAAAGATGTGTTAACAAAGAATGGATGGGTTTGTATCATCATTAGGTCTCATTATGCTGATACATTACAGTCATAGACTCAAAGAGTAGTCTGAGTAGCACTCATACCTCTGTGATTTTAATCAGTCGAGTCGCCTATACATCTCATCAACAGGAGGCTTTACTGAAACTTCTGTCTGTCCCCACTCAGCTCAGCATTAAAGCTTGAAGAGTGCTGCACAACTGTCCCCTGCAGGTAGAACTGCAGTAACACACTCACTATAATGTTCATGCATCTGCATTCTTTATTTCTTGTTTTACTCATCCAATGTTGAGACAAGATTAGAGGCTAAGTTCCATGGTATATACAACAGTATATTGCACACGCACTGGCAATGCAAAAAGTGATTACCAGATTTTCCATTCATGGCAGATTATAATTTATTCTCAAATCAACGTTTAGCAGTAAATTCTGCCCTTACAAACTTTTAGAGTCTGTGGGTATATAGCAGATTTTCATTTAATCTGAGGCTGATGTTTCTAATATGATATTAATGAAATTACAGATATTTCATTGTACATAAAGTTAATATTTATTAATATAAGGGGGACACACAACAGATCAATAGGATACATTTTTGAATTTTGGATATTTATTTTTACCACACAAAATACTGACATATGAACCAAGCCCTCTGTAAAATTCTTCAGAATATAGATAGGAATAAAACTGAAAGGTTTGTTGTGTGTAAGTGTTACTTAACTGCAGATTTCTGTGTGTCTGAGTGAAAAAAAACAGCCTTTAAAGATAATGTATTGTAAAATTCCACCAGGAAACATCCCCACTTGATTACTTACATTACAGTTTTTCTCCATTGGTTTGCTCATTTCTTGAAACAGAAATTTCATTCTCAAAACTCTAAGATCATTTGGCAAAACAGTCTTACAGTTCAGCACAACACCATAGTTCACTTGCAAAAGCTCATATCTCTCCCAAAACTGTTCACTCATGCTTCAAAACTAAATTCCTTTCCCATATAAATAGTCAGTGCCACCAAAAGGCAAAAGATCCTTCTCAATTGCTTTGGCTCATTTCTCGAAACAGACCGGACGTTCTCAACACTCTCTGGATGCTTTTGCCAAAATGAACCTGGATGGTCTCAGCCCAACCACCATGGCTCCTCACCCAGCCAAGAAGCTCTCGCGGTCGCCAAAACTAAATATCCTGTCATCATCACAATAGTCCCGACCTGCCCAAGCTGGCATTGCCTCCCTTCTTGGCAGTGCGGTGCTACGAGCACCCTGCAAGCTCAACAATGGTCTCTTAGATTTTTTTCTCACTACTCGGGCCAGAGGATCGGACTACCTCCTCCCTCCACTCGTCCACCTCTCAGTCCTTACGCCCCACCCTTCCATGGTACACAATCGGTCTACTGCTATGAGTCTTCTGTTTGTCCTACGCCTAACCAAAATACAATTGTGTATAAAACCTGAAAAAAACAACAACAAAACAACAACAACAGGGTCTTTAGGCGTACGAGTAGCCTCTAAGGCCTTCTGACATCACACATTGCACTCATACCTGCCCAGGACAGGCTAGCCATTTCGTTATTCACACCACATAAAGTCATACCTCCATCATAGCCAGTTAAAAGAAAAATGTAGTAAAGCATATATACTGTTTATAGTAAACACCATAAACAAAAAACAGGAAAATTAATAGTGTAAGCCTACATGCTGTTAAATAACATACGGCTATAACTGGTATTCACCTGGTATGTATGTTGAATATGAAATGTAGTGTTGCACCCATTTCCTGAAATTGAACAGAATATTGTTGCATGCTGATTGACTTATAGAATAAAATGCTGCTGAACCATGTTGTTGGAGAGACAACCATTAGACTGAGAATCAATCAGTTTTACGATCAACAGGGATCTCATGTCACCTTGCTATAATTTGCTAAATGTAGGCTAACTGTACTTAATCATTTGCAAAGATGTACTAATACATTTGCAATGTGATGAAATCAATGAGAAATACAATTCTGTTGTGAACAATTGCCAAGTGGTTTGGAGGTTTGTCCATGTTGTTTTGAGAATGTAATTTCTGTTTCAAGAAATGAGCCAAACCAATGGAGAAAAACTGTAAGATATAATATATATATTATATATATTTTATATAAATATATATATATAATATATATTTTATGGAGAGAATATTGTCCTCAACTCCGCTAACTGCTAATGTAGCTGTATTGTTGCTGTAGGTTTATGAAACTTACACATTTACACCACGTTATGATGTTTAAGTGTAAAAGCAATCTCCAGACGTAAGTGAGCTAATGTTAGGCTCATACATGTCACATGACTTCAGTGTCATCACCACTAAGATCTGATTTAACCCCGTTTGGACACGTAAAGGCTGATCAGCTGTTTACTGATGGATTATTATCGTCTAAAACTGCGTTTCCTTCCAGAGGAGCGACGTCCATCGTGTATCGCTGTGAGGAGAAACAGACTCAGAAACCCTTCGCCCTCAAAGTCCTCAAGAAAACGGTCAGTGTTTGGTCATTATGGAGGAAGCAGAGGTCAGAGGTCAGGATGAGGGTCCCTGTTTAGAAAGAAAACGCTGTAATTAAAATGCACCAGTGTAACACATTAATGACTCATAAAGACTCTAATGAAGTTTTAAATCTTTCCAACATGTGTTGGAAAGTGTCTTTAAAAACTCTCAGGAACACAAACATTTGCTTCACTCAACATATGAACAACCTCCAGACGGGAAGCCACTTCCCTTTGAGGCAGCAGGTGCTCAAAACATTTAGCCCTAGCTTAGCACAAAGACTGCAGGCAGGGGGAAACTGTTAGCCTAGCTCCAAAAAGAGAAACTCTGTCTGGTTTATATATTGTACATTAGCTAACATGCTAATCACCACAGTCAGCTGGGTTTGGTTTTATAGAGCCGGTCAAGATTCACAAGCTAACTCTACCTAACAGGACCTCACTGGTTTATGATGCCTGCACGTTGCTACCTTTTATTGAACCCAGCCGACTCTTAAATGGAGGGGATTAGCATCATGTTAGCTATGTTACATATTCCTGAATACATACAGTTGGCCCATATTCACTGTTATAATAGTAGTTTCACCCTGATTTCAGTCCTAGTGCTAAGCTAGGCTAACCTTATGGTGGACCTACAGTATCTCTGCACATGAGATGAAACTGATCAATAACTGGATATTCTCAGCTGGTTGTGTTAGTTAATGCCAACTGTGGAGGACATTTTGTGTTCATTCATCAGATTTTTTTTCTTCTGTCGCAGATCGACAAGAAAATAGTTCGCACTGAAATTGGCGTCCTGTTGCGTCTTTCCCACCCGAACATTGTAAGTACATCATTGATCATTTATTTCAGAATGATTCAGTGTGAAATCTACGGGATTATTTGATGTATACGTCTGGTTTATTTGTAATATTGTGTTTCTGTTGTGGTGTTTGTCGCAGTCTGCTCTGTATATACAGGTTTCCCTCTAGATTAAGGACCGAGACGCTAACCCTAAGCGAACACCTCCGACAAGCTCAGTTATTACTCTGTATTATGAATCCATGAAGCTTTTATATTTGTCCACAGAGCCCAGAAATAAGATTGTAGGAGAAACACTACTGAGCATGTGCAGTGGGACACAACACGGAAGCAACCCAGGAACTTTTTTGGTTTATGCTCTCTGCGAGAAATCTTTATTCAAGTGGCCACTGAATGTGAAATCCATTCTTTTATTACATCCATTGCGTTGATTAATGATTAATATTCTGTTAAGTGCAGCTCCCTGTAATTACTCTATAATTAATCTGTAAGTGTGTCTCTGATCTGCTCATCAATGCTGGTTTCCATTAGCCACAAGCTAAAACTGTGTTATTCAGTTAAAATGAGGACCTTTAATGACACATTTGGCGCTTGTTGAGGGTTAATTTTGGACCCTGAAAATGAGTCAAAGATGACAAGGAGACGGATTTAGATATAAAGAATACTCAAAAATTATATTTTATACTGTTAAAAAAAGTTAAAATATCAACGTCAGTTCAAACTGACCATGACAAAATGTAGATTATGAACGACAGCCGGAGACATCAGACACATATTTTTCTACCTGCTGCAGCCACATTAGACCACCTTTACATTTCACTGCCCCTGCTGTAATTAAAATATACAGAGTTCAGTCAGCCAACTCACGTTTGATATGTTTATTAAGCAATATAGCATATTTAGATTTTGGCGTCTAGGCTCCGACCTCATCACTCCCTGCAGATATGTTTACATAGAGATATTGGGGAGTGATGCGCAAATAACCCAGTACCGGAGCCTACAGGTGGATGCTGGGGTAGGATGTACGGCTTTATACAGTTGCAGCAGGCAGCATATGGACGATGCAGGAATAGCACAATGACGAGCAGAGGAATGCCGAAGCAGATATGGAAGGGAGCGTATGGTTAGTGATATTGAGAATAAGGCATGTCTTGTTATATCACGGCAGACCGAGTTACTGCCTGACTAGCTGCAGGCTTCACTTCCTTTTTAATATTTAATGTTTTCACTCTCACTCAGATCTCAGCTGGAAGAGATCTTTGAGGACACTGAGCAATCGCTCTGGTGTGGAGTGGTGGACAGGAGGAGAGCTGTCGACAGGTATGTTTAAATTACAACTAATACCATTATGTGGTTAATATAAATTAAATACAACTATATACATTATATTCCAACTATATAGCGTTCACTTTTATACATTTTTATACACTTATGATCCATTATAGCTTAACTATAGTTAGGCATTATATTTGAAACCTAATGCACTGTATTATGCATTGCTATTTGCCTATAATACGACTGAAGTGTATACAGCATTATTTACTAATAATAATACATATATTACACTATATACACACTATATACATTATAATTACATATAATGACAATCTATAGAGGTACCACTATATACCAGCACTTAATATTACAATTATAATACTTAACCTGTATTAAGTTATTATACTTAACAACTATATCATATATAGCCGACATTATAATTACACTTATAACTTATATAATTAAAGGGTTATATATAAATTTACAAGTACACCTTATTTACACTATATACGGCACTATTATTCTGTGAGCTTATATTAAACAATATAATGTATACATTATATTAGACCACTAATACACACTATATACCAGTTTATTTCATATATAACTATAGTACATTAATAACTCTAGACTTATATACTATACTAGAACATTATTATCTATAACTTATAGATTTAACTATATGGTATATATACATTTATATGCCTCATTAGAATAGCATATTAAGAAGTATAATCATACAGCATTATTTACAACTATAAGAACGGCAACGCAGTGATGAGCTCAGTCGACTACAACAATTGATAATAATCAGAGTGGCTTGATACCCTGGTCTCCAGCTGGAGTCTTGTGGAGTCGGTGGTGAGGAGAAACGCTATAACTGTGTCCATCATGGTGCTCAGCACCCTCCTCATCACATTGGTCAGCGGAGCACTTCTTCCCAGGCTGCTCAGCTCGCTGTGGAGGGACGTAAGATTTTCCTGCAATGCATCACTGCTGTAGATAACTAAACTCTGCTATAATAAATACTGTCTCAAGGCTATAGCTATTATATCTATCTATCTATGCTATCTATCTATCTATTATCTATCTATCTAATCTATCTATCTATTTATCTAATCTATCTATCTATT